TGACCTTTTTATGTTGGGATTCATGTTTTTATTATAAAAGGATGTTGAATTTTGTCAAGTATTCTTACTGCATCTATTGAATATGATTTTCATTCTTCCTTCTGTTAATGTGGTGCACTGATTAATTTTTGTTGATTGACCCTTGCATCCCACGAATAAATCTCATTTGGTTGTGCAATATGAGCCTTTTTATGTGCTGTTGAGTTTGGACTCCCAGTTACTTCGTTGAGGAATTTTGCATCCACATTCGTCAGGAATACTGTCTGTAGTTTTCTCATGGTGTCCCATCTGGTCTACAGTGCTGCTCAAATCCTCCGCTTCCTTACTGACCTTCTATTTCCTTGTTCTGTTATTGAAAGCAGAGTACTGAAATCTATTACTGTATTGTTGTCTAATTCTCCCTTCAGATCTGTTCATGTTTGCTTCATAAGTTTGAATGTTCTGATGTTGGATGCACATATATTTTTATCCTTGTTTTATCTTCTGGACGAATTGATCCTTTTAATCATTATATAATGTCCTTGTCTCTTGTGACAGTTTTTGACTTAGAGACTATTTTGTATGATTTAGGCACGGCCACACCAGCTCCCTTCTGATTACTAGTTAGCATGGAATATATTTTCCATCCTTTCACTTTCAATCTACGTGTGTCCTTAAATCTGAGTCTTTTGTAGACAGTACATAATTGGATCTTGTTATATCCTTTAAAAAAAAAATCCATCCAGCCACTCTATGTCTTTCGATTGGGGAGTTTAATCCATTTACAGCTAAAGTAACTACTGATAAGGAAGAACTTACTATTGTCATTTTGTTCTCTGTCCTATAGTTTTTCTGTCCCTTGCTGTCTCTAAGTTTCACTGATATTTTTGTAGCGATATGCTTTGATTCCTTCTCACCTTCTCTTGTGTGAGAATTAACATAGGGTTCTATTACCATAGAATTTATAACATTATATGTTAAGCTAATAACTTCTATCACATACAGAAACTACTTTTACCCTCTTTATGTTATTAATATCACAAATTATATCTTTTATGTTGTATATCAATTAATACATTTTTGTAAATACTTCTGGTTTTTGAAATTCTATGTCACAGTTAAAGTGATTTCATATACATACATTACTGTCTATATATTTACCTTTACCAATGAGCTTTATACCTTTATGAACTTTTGTGTTGATATCCAGCATCCTTTTATTTCAACTTGGAGTCCCTTTAGCATTTCTTGTAAGGCAGGTCTAGCGGTGATAAACTCCCTCAGCTTTTGTTTATCTGTGGATGAAGAAAACTTATGCTGGATACAGTATTCTTGATTGGCAATTTTTTCTTTTATTCTTTCAGCACTTTGAATATAGCAGTACTCTCTTCTGTCCTGCAAGGTTTCTGCTGAAAAATTCACTGGGAATCTTATGGGAACTCCAATGTATATAACAAGTTGCTTTTCTCTTGCTGTTTTAAAATTCTCTGTCTCTAACTTTTGACAATTTGATTATAAAATGCCTCAGTCCATCCCAATTGAGGTGTATCTGGCTTCTTGAATCTGGATGTCCACTTCCTTCCCCAGATTTTGGAAGTCTGGTCATTGTTTTTTCAAATATGCTTTCTGCCTCTTTCTCTCTCCCCTCTCCTTCTGGGATATTCAAAATGCACACATTGGTTTGCCTGATGATGCTCCATATATCCCTTAAGCTTTCCTTACTCTTCATTTTTTCTTTTTGCCTCTCTGAGTAGATTATTTCAAATGACCTGTCTTTGAGTTTGCTGATTCTTTCTTAGGCTTAAGTCAGCTGTTAAACACCTCTAGTAAAATTTTCAATCATTTATTGTATTCTTCAGGTCCAAATTTTATTTGGTTCTTTTAAAATATTTTCTTGCCCTGGCTGGTGTAGCTCAGTTGGTTGGAGCATTGTCCCGTGACCGGAAAGATCACAAGGTTCAATTCCTAGTCAGGGCACATACCTAGGTTGAAGGTTTAGTCCCAAGTCAGGATGCATGTGAGAGGTAACCAACTGATGTTTCTCACATGAGTGTTTCTCTCCCTCTCTCGCCTTACCTTCCCCTCTAAAATCAATAAGGATGGCCCTGGCTGAGGATAAAAACAAACAAACAAATAAAAATATTTTCTCTTTGTTGATATTTTCACATTCTCATTACCCTCTTCATAACTTCCATGCACCATTTTCCTGAGTTCACTGAGCATCTTCACGATGGTTTTGAAATTTGTTAGATAATTCACGTATCTCCATTTCTTCAGGGTAAGTTTCTAAAGATTTATTTTGTGTGTTTTTTTGCTGTTGTTGGACCACATTTCTTCTTGTGCCTGGTTACTTTGTGTTGGAATCCACACATTTGAAAAAAGTTACCTCTCCTAGACTTTACAGACAGGCTTTGTACAGGAAAAAATCTCATCAGTCAGCCCAGCTTAGATTTGGGGAGCCTCTAAAACCTTTGGCATGGATGAACCTCCTTGGGACTTTATGTGTGTAAATTCCCAAGCAGAGGTTTTTGCTAGTTTCTTTTTTCAGCAGTTTGTAATCTCTTGCTCCCTCTGGTGTCTATCTGCAATAGTGCAGGTTCTCCGGAGCCGCTGCGAGATGCCCAGCTCTTTGTTCTCGGGGGCCTGCCAGGGCTTGGAGCCAGGTAAGACAGAAACCAGGCCCTTGCACAGTCCTCCAACAGCTAGAAGGTTGGACATGCATTCCAACACTTTCCCTCCTTAGGGAGAAACCAGAATTCGGGAGTTTTCTCCCTCACTAAGCAGAGAGGGGAGGCAATGCTAAGTGAGTATACGCCAGTTCAAACCACTGCCCTTGTTCTCAGTGCCCAAGCTGGTGCCCTTTCCTGTCAGGGCTTAGTCGGGAAAGACAGAAGCGCCCTGGGAAGCCCTCTGAGAAGTCGGCGAGTTAGATGTATATTCCACTCTTCTCATTCCCTCACTTGAGAGAAGCCAGGGGTCAGGAGTTTCCTCCCAATTGAGCTGGTAGAAGGGCTCTGGTGTGAGTTCTAAAATTTTCCTAGAGGCTTCACTGCAGCTGGCTTTCCACTGTTTGGAGTGCAAGAGCCTCTAAACTGGTTTCTAGATTTCTCACAAAGGGAACTGGTCCGTTTATTGATGAATCAGGGTTACTTAGGGGGAAGAAGGGCCTGAGGCTGCCCATTCTACTATCTTGCTGACATTACTCTGAAGTATCTGTTTTTATCACGTTTTATGCAAGTGACCTATTTCACCCACACTCACATTTCATTAGCCAGAAGAAGCTACATGGTCACCTCCAAGTTCAACAAAGAATGTATATTTCTCCCACAGAGAGGAAGCAGACTATCTGGTGTTGCTGCCCAGGATCTGAGGAACCTCTGGCAGGCTTACACAGGCATCCCAGGTTGGATGTTCTCGACACTTGCAGGTGCTGTTCCAGATGCACGGTGTGCCCTCAGGGCTGCTTACAATGGGCTTTGGAGAGTAGCGGCCTGCCCTTCTCTTTGGCCTTCCAAATCATATATGAGCACTTTCATTATAGAGTCTAACTTGGAGTCATAGCAGAAAATACGGTTCCCAGCGCTACCTTAGCAGTTCATGGAATCTCTAGATGCGGTGGTCCTGATATGCATTTCTCACCTGTACTACTCAACAGCCAAACAGGTCTCCCTGGTATTTAACCCTCCCTCATCCCTCTGCCTCAGAATGGCGTCAAGGCCACATGACCCTGGCCCCATCCAGCTCACGAACCTTCCCCTTCACACACACTCCCAGTGCAGTCGGTGTCCAGAATGCTATAGCTCCTTGGACCCAAAACATTCCAACATCTTCACTTCTACTTCACTCCCATCCTTCCTTCCCTTGGCTACTGCTTCCCTGCTCTCTGTATCTTAGGACGGTCCGTCACTCCACATGCTGAGCTCCAAGATGCCAGACTCTTGGGAGAATTGCAACAGGCTGAGGTGGGGACAAATTATCAAATGAATACGTCAGTTATAAGAATACATCCAGATTTTACACGGAAATGTTAATGTTGGAAACAAAAAAGTTTTATTAGTCCATCAGTTTAGTTTCTCCCTTTTCCAATATCTACTTTTTTAAAAAAAGATTTTATTTATTTATTCTTAGAGAGAGGGGAAGGGAGGGAGAAAGAAACATCAACTGGTCGGTTGCCTCTTGGGCACCCCAACGAAGAACCCGGACCGCAACCCAGGCACGTGCCCTGACTGGGAATCAAACCAGTGACCTCCTGGTTCGCAGGCCGGTATTCAGCCAACTGAATCAGACTAGCCAGGGCCCAATATCTACTTTCATTTCAAGGCAGGGGCAGAGATATAGTTTTCAATTCCAATCATGCTATTGTAGTTTAGAAAAATGGCTTAGAAGACAGTTGTCTAAGTGGATGCTGATATTTATTAAAAACTCTAAGTGGCTTATAAATAGCTAACAACTTAAGACATTCTTGGTTTACAGAATAGTCATCTAGTTAAAGAGAAGAAAGATTTTCAATAACGAGGCGACTGGATAGCTTCGGTCTCACTGGACATATTCATTTCTTATGAGAACAGTTAAGTGAATAATATACCAGATGTGACAGAGATGTCACCATAATGCTTAGTCCCTTAATCACAGTGGTGAGGTTAGGCCGGACTTTGAAAATGGCAGGGTGGGAAACTATTTGAGCACAACAGGGTGATAAAAAGAGAAGCCAAGAATAATGCCGGCATTGTGGAAGAAACACAAAACTCATCACATCTCACGTGACAGTCTCTGACCTATGGGAAGAGTGCATAACAGAGAGACAGAGTTTTGTGACAGCAATCCCACAAGTGGCCTGTCTCTGTAACCATGTCAACCACCATCGCAAAGTACTCATCTTCATTTGCTTTCATGAAGGGGGAGCACTCAAACCCTTCTTGGGAGTCAGCACGCAGATAACGAACCAGTAGATGGCTAGGCCATTATGGTAGCTCGTGATACCATGATTTAAATACACACATAAAAAAAGTTCGCCTCCCTACCTTTCGGCAGCGAGGATTGGGACAGCTGAACCTCTTCACATCACTGTCCAACAGAGCGGGGAAGCTACAGGAGGGGCACCTACAGTCAGAAGAGCAGAAGGCACATTACTCAGGACAGGAAAGCTCGATGTGGTTCCATGTGACGTTCGTGCTGTGATGGAGTTCTCAGCTGGATGGCCACATCTGCTTTTTGTCCTTTTCATTAAAACATGGACTGAGGTTCTCCTTTGTGTGGGCTCTTTCCAGGAAACACAGGTGCTGTCTGGGTCCCGTTTCAGTGCAAACCATGCAATAAGCACACCTTTCTGAGAACTCCTCGCACATGTCACCTGTCCTCCAACCCAATGTACAATGTTTTTACTGATAAGCCAGACGATTAAGAGATGCCAAGGAATGTAGGCAAAAATGTGACCTGCAGACTTTTCCCACGATCAAGTCTTTTACGCCCAGTAAGAAATGCCAGAAAATCAGGAAGCTACAGTTTTGTCACAGAATTCTCGCCACCTGGTCCAAGGGCTCAGGCAGCCTCCCTCGTGGAGACTGAGTTGACAGATGACACTCTCCGACTCCGAGGACTCACCTGACAAGCTCATCAGCATAGGCTGCGGCGACTTCCTCCTCAGCTTTCCGCTCGTAGTACTTGTACAGGATGGTCTGGGGAAGCACCTTCTCCAGCTCACTGGTAGGGAACGAACACGTGCAGCTGCCTTCCATGCAGCTGAGCTCTGACTAGAACAACCAGGTCAGGGCGTGAAAAGGAAAAAAAGAAAACTCAATCGAGGTTTCGGAAAAATGGAAAGCCTCAGTGGTTAAATGCATCTAAAGCAAATAAATCGTGGTTAAGTACATAGGCTCTGAGATAATAAAGATCTCGCTGTCCTCTCTTCTCTATGAAACAAAAACACGAAGTCCATCTTTGATACCCCCAGCGGACCTCCATCAGCCCAAACCACAGCACATGAGGATGGAAGGCAGGCGAAGGAGTGTAAAAGGCTCAGCAGATTGGCGGGGGGCGCCCCCCGCCTCTGAGAAGGATCCTCGGAGCTGGTTCCCTCCACAGCCCTGGGAAGCAGGGCCCAGACATCCTGGGAGGCAGGGGTGAGTGACAGGAGGGGAGGGAGCTGCCAGGACTGTGAACTACCACCAGACGGCTGTGTGAAAAGCCTCCAGTTCTGCCCTCTGATGGAGCCAGGCGCCTAGAACTCTTCCAGGAGGCTCCGAGCAGCTGGGCCAGAGGGCTCTGGACTTCACCTTCAAGGCACTGGCAGCAGGTGGACCCCTCATGCCACAGCTCTCCGACCTCTCCTGCTGCTCCATTTTGAGGACCCCTGTCTTTGAGGACTGGGTTCGCCTAGATAATCCAGGACAATGTCCCTAGGTTAAGGTGACATGAAAAGCAACTTTAATCCCCCTTGCCATTTCAGGTAGTACAGGCACAGGCTGTGGGGGTGAGGAGGTAGACGCCCGTGGGGTGCGGGTCGGGGAGGCCGTGGCATTATTCTGCCAGTCACAACCCATCTACTCGGAACTGTTACTCCGTTCTTGACTAAACTACAACTAACTTCAGAATAATGACATTCAGTGATTTGATTATTGGTGGGCATTTAAGAAAAGCAATTTTGGTTTTTAACTGTTCGTTAAGACAAAGCAAAACTCCTTTCCATATTGTTATGCTGTTATCAAGAGAAACTGACTTTGAAAGGAGAATTATGATCACGTATAAAAGTTATTTTAATACATCTGTAAAATCGTTAAAAAAATTGGTTAAAAAACACTAAATTACACTCCCACACATTCAAACAGGCTGCAAGATTCTCTCTTTCTGAGTTGAGTCTACATTTTCCTTATGAACCTTTCCTTATGAGGGAAGAAGCAGGCGCTCCTGCGGCTGGGAAGGCTGGGGGCAGGGAAGGACACCACTCCAGGGCACCACTCCCTGAAGAGATCTGCTGTGCTTGGAACCAACATCGTCACACAGATCGGGCACTGTCGAGGAATCGCACATTCCTGTGTCTTAGCAGAGTTCCACCTCACTCCAGAAAAGGCATTTTACACTTGTCTATAAACGTGGTCGCCTCAGACTCTGAATGCTTCCCACCTGGGGGCGAGGTCCTCGGGGCTTACCTTTCCAGATCCAAAGACGGCCTCCTGGGCATATCTGATGAGACACTCCTTGCAGAACAAGTGAGCATCCGCACATTGTGTCAGCTCCTCGAACGGAAACTCCCCATAGCAGCAGCGGCACTCAATCAGCTGGCCATCCTGCAGGTCGCCACAAACACACGTGAAATTCCCCACATGTAAGGGGGGCGGGCAGCATGTTTCACATTCCCCTCCCCTACTTGTACCCTGAGGTAAAGGGCTACCCCTAGAAGCCATAAAACAATAAGCTGCTTTCTGCCCTGAGTGGTGTGGCTGAGTGGACTGAGTGCCCACCTGCAAATCAAAGGGTTGCTGGATCGATTCCCAGCCAGGGAACATGCCTGTGTTGCAGGCCAGGTCCCCGGTAGGGGGCACGCAAGAGGCAACCACACAGTGATGGTTCTCTCCCTCTCTCCCTCCCTTCCTTCCCCTCTAAAAATTAAAAAAAAAAAAAAAAAAGAGTTGCTTTCTGCTGTATAAATGTAGACTGAGATGCTGGTAACAAATATGAACATATAGTTAAAGAAAGTGAGATTTTCACTTTTGGGGGATATTTTTTGTCGTCATCCTCTGCTAGCTTTATCATAGTCATGAATTCCATGGTGCCAGGAGAACTATATGCCTGCAAATCCGATTCTACTGCTAACAGGATTTTAAGAGTCTAGGACAAGCGGCATGAAAAATGTTCTCTCAAAAGCTGGATTTTCTCTTGTTGCAAGAGAGTGGTGTGAGAGGATCATGCCCCAACCCAAGCTTTATCTTAAGCAACCACTGACTCACTACAGCCAGAATCCCGAGTACATTCCCACTGTGTCAGGAAAGGCTGCTTCTGGAGGAACAGCGCGTGCGCCAGACCCCGGCCCTGGGTTTTCTGGCCTCTGCCTTCTAACCCTACATGATGGGCGAGGTCTAAGTTTCCCTGTAAGAGTTCATTCAATGGACTACGGCAGTGTTCCTTAGCAGGAACACGTCTATCATCATCTTCCCTTCACTTCTCATCCAGTCTGGTATGAAGAGTGACAATAACGTTTCAAGCGACTGTGATGTGGCTACAAACTCAGCAGAATAACAGGAGCTTATCTAGGAACCAATGTGCCATCAAAATCCTGAGGTAATGTGATAAGAGAAAACAGCCCATGAAAAATACCAGAATAAATGAATTAGGTGAGTTTTCAAAATACCTTTTGATACTGTTCTTCGTTCATCTGCAGAGCAAGCAAAAAGTCTTCATGCTGAAGAACAAAAAAACCACACGTGTAGGTACAAATTTAATAAAGATGCCACAAACCATTTAGAATTTTTTTCCACAGACGAAATAAAACTATTATTAATAGTCATCTCTTCAGTTACATGGTTTAGCAGCTTAAATTTTATCAAATTTTGACCCTCAAAAACACCTTCTCCACACTCTGACAAACCAGGAAAAAAGCAGCCAGCAGCCCCGCTGCACCTATGACGGTCGACACAAGGGAGAAGCCCAGGTGCCTGAGGGCTGCAAGCTGCTGAATCAGGCACCTCTTCTTTAGAAAAAGAATGCTGCTTTTACGTGAAAAAAACGACTGATAAAACATTTGGTGCTTGGCAGACATTTCCTCAAAACTGAATAATTATTTGTGGCCAGTGATAAAACTCTAGATCTCAAGCAGAAGTTGGAATTTTGGAGCTCTGAGTAGTGAGGCTCAGATGGCTGGGCGTCATCCCACAAAGCAAAGGTTATCGGTTCAGTTCCTGGTTGGGGCACATGCCTGGGTTGCGGGTTCAGCACTGTCAGGGAGTGCGGGGTGGGGGTGGGGGGCAACCAGTTGATGTTTCTCTCTCACAGAGATGTTTCAGAAATCGGGATTTTGGAGAAGTCATCTTGGTCCACCTGCCACAGAGTTATCAGTCCGCCTGTCTACTGCTATATTGTGTGGCACTGCCATTTTGAAAAAATGTGAGTGCATGGTGGTGAAGAAAATAATGATTTCTGGTACAATTCAGTGCCACTGGATTGACTCATGATAAGGCACCATTGCTTCTGTTCTATGTAAATTTTACACAGTGAAAAGGTAAATGTGTTATCATTATTACAAGATTTGACCTTGCAGGACCCCTAAAAGGGTCTAGGGGGGAAACCAGAGGTCCATAGGTCATACTTTCAGAGCCACTGGTCTAGAAGACACATATTAAGTAACCAATGCATATACCCTGTTTGGCAGTTGATGGTACATTTGGAAGAACTAAAGAGCGCAGTGGTCTACCTCTGGTTTTTCTCCACCATTAGAGGCTGAGGGAAGTCAAACAGAACCGGGTGCTGAGCTCCAAATAAAATTCTCTACTATAAATCTGACTTATGAAACCGTGAACTTTAATATCACTACAAAACCCGGTTTTCTTTTCCTTTTAAAAACTGAGTTCATTCACATTAGTCACACAAAAGAAAACGCCAATCTTCGAAGAACCTTTAACGCTGGGCCCTCGCAGCGGGCCCACACCGCGCCACGCGCCGCCCCACCTCTGCCATCTCCTTGACTTTCTGCTCGTAGAACTCCTGCTCCTGCTGCACAGCGGGAAGGAGGGCACGCCGCTCATAGGACCTACAGTGCCGCCGCTTATTTTCCAGAAAGAACATCCTCTTTTCTATTTTTATGTCACCTAGAAGACATTGCAATGCAAAATCATGCCAGTAACTGTTTGCTAGGGGCCCAGGCCAGCCGTTCGGCCCTCTGGGGCCTGGGCCCCGCCTCCTCTCCCGCAGCACACCCGGCCCCTCCGCCGCCTGCTCCGCCAGCTGGGGACGTGGGGCTCCACCCTGGTGCCCAACCTATGTGCGCTTTTTGCCTTTCATGTTCTTTTCCGTGTTATACTCCAATCAGAGTGTGCCTCTTACCCGGGCAGTGTTGTGCTGCGTGACTATAGCGGTTTATTACCCACTCTAATACAGAGAGCAGGTGGGTCTATAGTTTGGGGCTGGTGTAAACTGGCCTACTGAACATATGTCTGTAATTCAGTTGAGTGCACAGAATGGAATGTCGCACCGAATTTTCCTGTCATGGTGGCTCCTAAGTAGAAAGAAGGAAGACGGCAACTGTAGCCACTTTTTATTTAAAAGCGCTGATATGCTTCCAAGCAGTCCACATCAGGGTCACTGCCCGGACTGGTCTTGAGGACATTCCCTAAGCAGCCACACTGCAGTGTCCCTCCCGAGTGTGCGGGAAGGGGACAGTTCTGCATGGCAGCTTCACACACAGTTTGCCATTACCTTGTTCAAACTTGAAATCTATGTAAGAATACTGATTCATTTCTTTCCTCTTTTTTCTTTTTCCACTGGTTTCTGGAGATAGCTCCTGCCATTTTTTAATGGCATCAGAAAAGGCCTAAAAATTGAGAAAGGGAAAGGTTACCACTGTAGATGGGACTCAAGAATACGTCAAACACAGGCAATCCCAAACCGCATTTGGACTCAAGTTTTAGCTGGCTCCCCTGCATGGTTTACAGAAACAGGCAGTGGCAAAACGAACAGGTAGCATTTCATTATCTTTGTTTTTAGACTTTCATCAACTGCTACAATGGCAGAACCAAAATGCTTGTTAACACATTAAAGGGCAACGTAAAAAAATAGAAACAGTTCAAACTGCCCTTGAATAAGTACAAGTTAAATCACTTAACAAGTGGCTAGCAAGCTGCACTTACAGGTGCGTCCTACGTGGCATCTCTCTGCTCAGCACTCCCTGTCCATCGGTCCCCCGCCACCGCCCCTCGGTGGCTTTCCCCTCTGTCCTGGAGCACCAAGCTCTGAGGGGAGCAATAACCCCCTTTCTTTCATACCTTTCGCTCCTCCCGTTTTTAGATATTTCCAATAGGCACTTAAATGTGCTAAAGTCTTGGTCACCTTAAAAAAGAAAACCCTCCCTCTCCTGGCCTCCTTCCCCTCTTCCTTCCTCCTCTTCAGAGGCAAACTTATCAAAGGCACGGACTGTCCGTGTTTCAACACCTCACTTCCCGTGAGCTCTCCAACTTCTAATCTGGCGTGAACCCGCCTCTCCACTTGCTAATGTACTACCTAACGCCTGGCTTCCGTCCCACTTGACCTTTCAGCGTATCCATGACACTGACAGTTCCTCTCACAGCTTCCGCTTCCTCCTTGCCTGCTCTTCCTCCGCCAGCCTCCTCTCCTTGGTCCTCACATGTGGAAGTCCCCTAGGCAGCCTCTGTCAAGGCAACTCATCCAGGCTGGGGAGGTTACCCTCCCTGTGCCAATAATTCTCAAAATCCCATCCCCAGCGCCTGCTCCCCACCTTTTGTGTCCATCCAACCGCACAGCAAGTTATTTTTACTTGCTGGCCATTCAGTGTTTCCCAGCTTGGATTCACGACCCTTTCTCTCCAGAGTAGCTTTCGGAGTAGTTTTCCTCATCCCAGGAAAAATAATCACCATCTTCTGTGCGTCCTTACTGAGCCCCTACTTCTGTTACACTTAGGTTTGTGACTCAACGTCACTTGCTCAGGGAGGCCCTTCCGGAGCCTCTTAGCCCACCTTCGATTCCCACACTCTCCAAGCACCTTGCAGTCTTCTTTCAAAATGCTTCTCACAGCTGTTAAGTACAGACTTCTTAGTGTGATGCTGCTTCACAGCACCTCCTCCACCAGACTCTGGGCCTCCACACCACAGCCCAGGGCACACCCTCAGCTGCTCGCGCGGTTTTAACAGGGCTGTGTAAGGGGTATAGGGATGCTGTTAATAAACCTTATTCTTACCCCTTTACCTTAGAGACAGCCGTGTATTCCATGGCAGAAGGACAACAAGAGAAAAAGTACTTTAGCTACGGAAGAGGGAAGGATCTCTTTTCATCTTAACCCACCTCCTACCCCTTCCTTTTCAAGCTCCTAGGTTTGGGAATCAGAAGGGAATTACCAGTGGCTACATGTGCCTCCTGGGAGCTTAGCGCTACCATGCACCTTCTTACTGCTTTAATTCTCACAAGGATCCTGAGGGAAGTGTTCCTTATTTCACAGCAGAGGGAAGTAGGGCTTAGAGAGGAGAATGAATGAACCTGCCCCCAGTCAAACCTTCATTAAAATTAGGACTTGAACTCGGGCCAGCTCAGATCTAAAGTTCCCCTCTCTGACATCCCCGTGCGCTCCCAGATTCACTGCCCAAAGGCAACATTCATCTCGCTACCTTTCTACCTCCATCAACATCCTCCACGGCTGCAGTACCTCCTTCCTGGCTTTGTTTCTGCTTCTGGAAGTCCCACTACCCCAGGGGCTCCCTACGAACCCTTAGACACTAATCTTACAGTCACATGTTTGTACTCAGCTGTAAGAGTGCTAAGTTCTAACAAGTTTTACCTAAAGGGCTATTTGTGAAGAAAACTCAGGAAAGGATGCGGGACAGGTATTAGAATCTGCATTTTATAAATAAGGCAGACATCCCTTCCTGGTCAGCAACTAACTGAACTGGAGGGTGAGCTCCGAGCTCACAGCTGGCAGCCCACCAGGCCTGCGACCACCCCGCAGGCGCAGAGGCTCCTCGCTGGAAGTAAACTGAGGCCACTACCTTTGTCCCACTTAAATGATGTTTCTGTTTAGCAGCAAAAAATCCATATACATAAACACAAACTGACACTTGTCCAGAAACTGTATCTCATACAAAATGTTGTCTACAAATTAAAGGAGCCTCCAGAATCTCACTTTTAAAAGTTATATTAATGATCATCACTTATCTTAATATTAATAGTGACTGAAGGTTGAGTTACACACACCAGATAAAATTAGGTTGTCCGAATCCTTTCCTTTTGAGACCTGCTAGTCATACTTCACACATACACATGCCGAAGGCGCCACGGTTACTTTTTCTTGCCTTGTAGCCTTTGCAACATTACTCTACTGGAAACCTCTATTCTTTGAGACCCTGTTCAAACTCTGTTCAAACACCACCTTCTTCACTTCTGTCCTAGTGCTTTCACGTACCTACCTCTCTTTTGCACTATCACCGTTTCTATCTTTCTTTTTAATCTCAAACAGACTGAAAGCTCCTTGGAAGGCAGCTCATTTGTGTTCTATGATGCCAGTGTCCTCAGGGGTGGCCGGGAGCTACCAGCAGAGCACTCCTCAAGCCTACGGGGGAGCAGGGGAACACAGACGGGGAAGCATAGCCTTCCTTTTGCTCCTGACTAGCATTAGTCCCTCCAGCTCCCATTCGCAAATCAAACACCCACTTGTGGTCTTAGATCTGAGAGTCAGGGACACAGTCTACTAAGATTTTTAGGATATCTGTGCAATGGCCAAAATTTCTTTAAGGTATAAACTAAAAATACTAGAATGGGCGCTTGATGGCATAAAAGCTGAGGAATAAAGAGACTCAAGCCTGGAGGAGGGAAGAGCAAAAACTTATAAATTAAAAGAATTAAAGTAACATATCAATGAACTAAAATAAACAGATTTCACTTGGAACCCAATAGCACCAAACAAGCTGTTTTGACACATTCGGAGAAATATGAACACTGACTGGCTACCTAATAATTTTTAATGTAATAATGGTATTTTGATTATGGTTTTCAAAAAAAAAAACAACAACTCCATCTTTTAAACATAAACACCAAGACAGTTATAAATGGAAAGAAAATGGCCCTGGCTGGTGTGGCTCAGTGGATTGAGTGCTGGCCTGAGAACCAAAGGGCCGCTGGTTCAATTCCCAGTCAGGGCACATGCCTGGGTTGCGGGCCAGGTCCCTAGTGGGGGGCACACAAGAGGCAATCACAAATTGATGTTTTTTTCCTCTCCCTCCTCCCCCCATAAATACATAAATAAAATCTTAAAAAAAAAAAAAAAAAACAAAGCAGAAAATGAAATGATTCTTGGAATCTGCTTCAAAACAGCCTGGAAGGGAGGAAGCGGGTAGAGATAAAGCAAGACTGGGAAGTAGCTGATAATTACCGAAGCTGAGTGATGGGTAAACGAGGGCTTATTATAATACAATCTCTTGTATCGGTGCTTGATGTTTATAACAGAAAGTGAAAAAAAAATCCAGGGAAACGTGACTGCCTTCACAGCGAACATGCTTCCCCGAAGCTGTCATCACGTTTGAGGAGCAGCAGGCACAGGAAGACGTGCTATTGCTATAATTACACCGCGCCTCTGGACGCGCCTGCTGCACCTCTGCCCGCGTGAGGTCACTTCCCACAGGGCAGGACTCTCCCGCACCCTCTGCACATCGCAGGGGGAGTTCTAAGCTGTAATTGAGCACACCGGATTTCCGCTTCTGCCAAACACTTTAAACACCTCACTTTCATTCAAATAGCCTGTAAACTTTCAAAATACCCACCAAAACAAGCAGATGCCATAAAAAACGTAAAGGGTCAGAAAGATAAGGAAAGGGGCAAGAAAGGTATAAATGAGGGAAACTGAACCACAAAATTCTACAACCTCCCACCCAAATAACAAGGGGGTCGCAGGATGACCAAACCTTTGGTGGGGCCGTCACTAATGAGGACCAGCCACCCTGAGGCCCCAGAAGCTGCCTCCTGCTGCGGCCCTTTCACTCTGGCCCCGGGCGCCCTGGGAGCTCAGAACGCAGAAGATGCCACTGCAGCAGCAGAGCCTCCAGGTAAGGGGCTGGCTTCCTTGCAGTTTTTATTTTGGGGAGAAGCTCATTCACCTTTCAATGACAGTACAGGCATCTCCTTTCCAGGTAACTTGGGGAATGAGATTCAGAAATAGAAAGCACTAACTCTGTATTCCCTTCGGAGTAATTCTATCTAAAATTAACCTACAATCAGGAGTTTGTCGAGAGTTGCCTGGGTCTTCTTGGCAACTTAAAGATGGGAGGATCCTGGACTCAGCCTGAGGTCACAGTCAACCTGCGGTTCACCTTCTTTCAGGTTAAGACATGGTGGGTGCTTTAACCATTTAAATAACTCCGCATGTTTGTCCTCTTGCAAAAAGCACAGTTTGCTGAGAATCACCAGAACTTCAGCAGAAGACACGGATTTCATGGCAGCAGAGGAGAGGAGGAGGAACAAGCCAAAGAGCTGCTGGTGCTCTCATCTGTCCTGTCTGACCACCACGAAGCAGGTGCTGTGCCATGGACTTCACTAATGAGGCACATCTCCGCTGCCCACCAGTGGCCTGCACTTGTCTGGAACAGAGGCCCTCAAGTGGGATCTTATTTAGGGCCCTGGAGATTAAATAGTGGGAGCTTTCGGCAGCTGTCCGCTCCCTTCTGAGGCCAACCACCGCCTGCTGGGCAGCCCTGCCTTGTGCGTCCGATCCCGGAGCCACCTGGGATAAGCCAGAAGCACAGAAGGGAGGAGCGGCTCGGGAAAAATGAAGTCCCTAATTACACATTAGGAGTGACCTACTGAGGAATTAAAATGTTTGTAGATCACAACAACAGTAAAAATAAGACTGAAGACAATTACTCTGAATTTCTATTTTTGCTTCATAGTTTAAAAAGCAAAGCCCTCTGAAGTTTTTCTATTAGCTGGGTGTCAATGTAGTGAAGTCACTGAGATCCCTACTGGTTAACTGTAGAGAACTGGAGAATTTAGATGAAAAGTATCTGTTTGTCAAAAAACCATGTAACAACGCATTACTCTCCGCGTCTTCATGGTCAAGCCAGAACTTCCCTGCTTCTAATACATCACTTCTCTTCATTCAGTTCTTCCCGGTCAGCAAATACCTTTGCCTATTTATCTTCACCCTGACCAACTCCTTAGCCCTTCGCCATCATAAACCACCCCAATTTACATAAGCTGAACCCTTCCTTCTGCTATCACAGGGGGAAGTAGCCGGAAGGCGCAACCCCACCAGGAGACAGAGCGCACACCTTTCGGGTGATTGCATAGTGCCCTTTGAGCTCGTGCAGGGCCCACTTGATGTCCTGGCTGCTGAGCATTCTGAAGTCGGCCATCAGGAGGTCGGCGGCCTGGATGAAGCAGGGCTGGTCAAGAGGAGCCAACTGAGAATAGTCAAAAAAGTCTATCTCCGGCAACTGAAACGAGAGAGAGGCAAAGCATCAGAGGCGGGACCGAAGGGCTGCTCACTCAAGAACAGGACAGCCCGCCTCACAGCTACACGGGAACAGGCTCCCAGCCTCAGGGAAGATGACAAAATCGTGATTCAGAGATGTTAAGCGGCTGTCTGAGTCTGGAGACTAGTTTTACTACTTAGAGCTGCTAAAAAAATACAGCAGGGGATTTGAACCCAATCTTGTAGCCATCTTCTTTCTACAAAATGTTTTTAAAAATTAAGTTTTTCCTGCTACAAAATATGTAAAAGAGAAAAGTCAAAAGAATTTGTGGGAAGTAGAAGGCTGGGGCAACGGACCCCACTGAAGCAGTTCTAAACTATATTTTCCTTCACCACTTCCACTAAGTGCTCGTTTGGACCACAAATGAAGACAATGATTAAAATTTAAAAAATCAAACTGTTTATATATTGATATAGGATTTGATTACACAGGTGTATGCACTTTATATAAATCTTACAGCAAAACTGTAAAGACATACAGAACTCTAGGCAATTGATCTGCAGGGTGAAGTATATTTGGGCAGTGCATTGATGCTTTTGTTTTGTTTTTTTTAATTTACTTTACTTTTTAAAACCCTCACCTGAGGATATATTTTTTAATTGATTTGAGAGGAGAGCAAGGTGTGGAGAGCGAGAGAGAGAGAAACACCGACTGGTTGCTTCCCATACGCACAACCCAGCCAGGGTTTGAACCTACAACCTTTTGGTGTACCGGATGACATTCATTTTAACCACCTAGCCAGGGAGTAATTTACTTTTAAATGTGTTATAATGAAATAAAATACAAGACAGATGTGCTGATGGACAGAGGGACAGACATGGGACAAAGTAGACACAGCAGAATGTTAACTTTTAACAGCACTGCTGCTGGGTGTATAGGTGATCAGTGTAAAAATCTCTTAACATGACTATGTGTTTAAAATTTTTCATGTTTTCAATTTTCAATGTTAAAAAACACCGAGATGACAAAAGAATCCTGACCAATTCTTGTTTCATTTTGGGAACCTACTTTTGTGTGATTGAAGATATGGAGGATTTACTTGTTTATGAGAAGGGGAAGAGAGAGTTACAATTAAAGAAGTTAAATACAGTGTTCAAAGTGGCTGATTGGGAAATCTCACTAAAATATAAATGTATTCTGAAACCCGTTCTTCCTGGATAGTCTTTAAAAATGTGACCTGACAAAGCACTTTCTTCCCATAAAGCACATAGGGAAAAAGCAGAGCATTTTCAGGTAAAGGCTGCAAAACAGGAGCCCTCACCCACCTCCGCCTCGTCCTGGCTGGCAAGCAGGCTGCTACTGGGGTTGGTGATCACTCGGTCTTCCCTCTTCGGATAATCTGGATTTTCCAGAAGGAAATTACAAATTCTGCAAAAATAAATGACATGACTCATACGGCTCCCAAATCCCACACCTGCCCATTGATTCAAAGCAATGTGTGAGAAATGAAGTCCCTAATTACACATTAGGAGTGACCTACTGAGGAATTAAAATGTTTGTAGATCACAACAACAGTAAAAATAAGACTGAAGACAATTACTCTGAATTTCTATTTTTGCTTCATAGTTTAAAAAGCAAAGCCCTCTGAAGTTTTTCTATTAGCTGGGTGTCAATGTAGTGAAGTCACTGAGATTCCTACTGGTTAACTGTAGAGAACTGGAGAAGTTAGATGAAAAGTATCTATTTGTCAAAAAACCATATAACAAATAAGGGGTGGGAAGAAGTATGTATTTACACCCCTACAATTAAATTCATTTGCTAGGAGAATAAGTAAAAGGAATATGAAAGCCCTCCTGTTAATCATTAATACTTCTGTAACCCTGTGGTTAAGTCAACCTCTACGAGCAATTTGAGTGACACTCAAGTTTGTTTACCAGCCTGTGAGGCTGAAAGAACAGATCGTGTTTGCTCTTCCCACCAAACCCAAAGCCTTGTCTCTCTACCACCGCTACCAAATACTGTGCCAGTGAGGATCCAGAGAGTAAGGTAACACACACAGACGCATCCCCACCCGATTTAACAAACGTTTCCTCACAGGGCTCTTCGGCCTGTAACAACCAAATCAGGCAACCAAGTGCGCTCCTGGGAGGAATCCAGAGTTCAAGGCCAGCTGGGTGGTGCAGCCCGGTCACTTCAGCACGGGTAGCTCCCCCCCACCCTCCCGCAGGGCAAGTGAGGCCGCGCCGGCCCCTTCCTGCCTTCCCGGCCCCTGCAGTTCTTAGGCTGACTCCTCCTGGTTGGAGGTGCCCCCCCGCGGTTCTCACTTGACTCCCTTTCCCACAGGTCCTTCCTGGCCAGTGCCCATAGTGGGGCCTCTAACAGTACGACAGGCACAGCAGGAAGAGAGGAAAACTGCCCACCTCCAGCTCTTCTCCTCACCCTAGTGCTTGGGGACCAAAAAATGGGAGGCACACTTCCTCTGCGACCCCCTGAGGACCCTCAGCACCGGCCTGATTGCACAGCCTCCCCCTCCTCAGCCCGCTGCAGGGCAGTCCACACCTCGACAGCTGCTTCTTCGCCATCACTTCCGGGAGCCCCAAATGCCTCTCCTCTCTGAGCTTTCCTCTTCCCTATCGCCAGCCCTGTCCGCTACAACATGAGAGGCCCAGCGAGGGGAAGGCCCCGTATCAGAACTGCAGCCCAGGGGAGACACGTTTAAGTCAGCCTCACCGATAATAATTCTTTGCTCCAGCGCAAAGCGATGAGCGGTGTAGGTTACGGAGACCTCTGAAGGTCGACTTGAGAACTAGCCACCCTGAAGAGTGCACTGTCCCCGGGCACAGGCCTAGAATCCCAAAGAATCCTTTTCACACACGTAACTGCACGTCTAACAAACCAGAGGTGGGACAGCTCCTCCATTCCAACCTGCCTGTTGGGAAGTGTGGCTCCCACAGACCAAAACACTCCCAGATGCCAGAATTTGGGGGGCAGATAAAAATCTTTCCCCCAACGAACAGACTCTGCTAGGACTGCCCACCCATGAATGAAGTCAGGGGTTTCCGAGCGGTGTGCGTGGAAAATGGTCTACTAGGGTGTTGGAAGTACACCGCCTGTTTGGTTTAATTAAAACAATCTGTACTAATTAGTTGAAAATTCATTAATTTCAATATTCTACTGTTCTTTCCAAATTTACAAGTGTTTCATCCTACAGACTAAAAGGAGGGGGAAAAGACTAAAAGGAGAGAGACTTAGTTTTCATTTTGAATGCAGATACTTCGATTAATCAGGTGCCCTGGGTGCTGGCACTTTCTGTACAAATACAGGAAAGAAAACCTCTTAACATCTTGACCAAAACACAGGCAGTATCAATGCTCAGAATTAACCAAACACGCAGGATTCCATGAGACTGAAAAACCAAACAAACCAAATCTGTATCTGACTAAAATCAGAGCTCTTCTAACAGGATCATTAGAAAAGGCACACTGCCGAGGGAGACAAGGCCAGCGCAGAAGGACAGACACTGCGCAGCCCGCCCCCACAAGGCCCCCGGCGCAGTCAGTCACAGAGGAGGAGGGTGCGCGCCGGGGCCGGGGCGGGGGCGCGGGGAACACAGGGTTCAGCTTCCATGGGGACCGAGTTTCAATTCGGGAGGATGAGAAAGTTCTGGAGATGGATGGTGGTGACGGCTGTGTAATGCAGCTATACCCTTGAAAATGGTTAAATTATAAATTTTTATGTTTTGTGTTATTTTACTACAATAAAAAATTTACAAAAGGCATGGTGGTATACTTACACATTCAAATCATAGTAATTCTTCAAATGAATTATTTCCTCAATATATCCAGTTGCTACATCTGGAAATCTTATTTCCTAGAGAAGAATAAAAACATTATTTATATTTCATACACTAGAATGGTTTCAAATTGCAATAAAACCCAGATGTCAAAAAGTATATGAATGACTACAAACTAGAAAAGTGCTACAAAGCATGTTTGTGACTGGCTTAAAACCCCACATGAGGTCCCCAGATTTATCTGTCTACACGGAGTATGGAATGTAGAAAGGTCTCTAGAGATCACCTGGTCCTCTGCCCTCATTTGTACATCCTTGATTCTTTTAAAAAACGTTGAACATTTCTGCCCAGGCAAAGGGAGTCCCAACATGAATAAAGCCCCATCCAGTGCTTACCCCCAAGCAGCACACGACCTAGTGGGCCCTGTGAAAAAGCCGGGGAGGAAGGGTGAAGAGGCTGTTCCGAGGCAAAGGGCCGCAGAGCCAGGACAAAGAGCCCTGCACTACCTTCTAGATACGCGCTATCCGACAAAACTGTACAGCGACGGAAATGCCCTGCTCTGTGCTTTCTGATATGGCAGCAGCTCAGCCCCAAGTGGCTATCGAGCACTTAAAATGTGACCGCTGTTGCTGGAAACAAAACCATAAATTTTATTAAAACATTTAAACCTCAAGAGCCACAGGAGGCTCCCACCTTGGACAGTGCAGTTCTAGGTCATTTGGCAAACCTGCTTTAAGGGTTTCACTTGGGAGTTGGCCCAATGCCACTTTAAAACCTGGGGAACTGCTCATGTGTCAGCAGCAGGTTATCCACAATCGACAGCTGGAACCCCAGAGGGCTTGCTGGGGCATTAAAAATAGATTAAGAAATCCTGATTTAACTTTCAAGTTTCCAGAGTTTCTCTTTCACTCTGTAAATGCAGCTGTATACCCCTTAGGAAAACAAAGTGCACACACACAACACTTTTGCAAGAAAATAAAAAAACAAAACTCAGTACACCTAGCGTCTGTAATTGTTTGTTTAATAAAAGGAAACTTACTGTTTCTTTCACTAATAGTGCAACGGCTTCTTGATCTACCTCAGTAGCTTCTTGCTGCCAAAGGTTTTCCAAATTGGGCTCCTGAGACCCTTGGAGCGGAAAGGCTGGGCCTGGCTCGTCACCGTCTATTGCTAACTGTTGGTCTTCCAGCTCTCCCAGAGGATGGGCAGGCTGAGGAGAGGAGCGGCCTGGAATCCCATCCTGCTGGGGCCCTGGTCTTGGGAAGGCGGGCCTTGGAAAAGCCAGCCCTAGGGCCTCATGCTGGAAGAACAGCGGGCCCAGCTCTGACCCCGGCGGCCGCTCCTGAGGAACCACCTGATTTGTCACCTCACGGGGCTGCTGGTTCAGAGGCTGGAAGTAAGGGTGGTCTAACCAGCAGTCTTCTTCGATGGCCTGATCGTCGAGGATAGCGGTTGATTCTTCGAGGTTTGATAACAGGTCTGACTCTGAATCTTCAGATGACTCAGATGACTGGTTCTGAGTGTCCAAAGGGTCACTATCTGGAATAAGGCCACTTTTTCTCCAGATGAAGACTTTTGGCCCTGATCCGGGGTTGACAATATCTCTGGCCGCTTGGTTACGACTGGGTCCAGCCTTGGGTTCTCTTTCTGTTTGGCCACTTGGCTGAATGAATCCAGAAACTCCAGGAGGCCCAAGACTCAGAAATTCCCCGTAGTCATCCTCAGAATCGCCCTGCGTCCCAGAATCAAACAATGAGCTGTTACACACTGAAAAATAGTTGTTCTTATTTGATTCAAAAGCTGCTCTAGACTTTTTAGGCCTTTCTTCTCCCAAACTTTTGAGATCTTGCCACTGGGCAGCTGGTTTGATGAGATTGGGTCGTGTTGTCTGAGGTTTAGTTGTCTAAGAAAAAATAAAATTTTAATAATAATTCAATTTCTTTCCTATGTCTATGCCTCCTTACGTACTTACATGCAGCTTCTGAGATAAGACAGGAAAGAAACAAAATCACCCTCATCTACAAAAACCTATTCTTCACACTTATTGTAGCACTGAAATTTGATCATACTATATTCATTTTAAGAATGAAAGTAGCCATTCATAAAGTCTGAATTATAATTTGAATTATAATCTCACCTGAGACCATTAAAATGTAGAGAAAATAATGAAAAAAATGACAACAGTAAACAAAAATGTTCCATAAACATAAAAAATGTAAACCTCATTAATAAACAGCAAAATGCAAATTAAAACAAGATTTTTTTTTTCTCTCCATAGACTAGAAAATTTTAGGTAATATGAAACTGCTGCTGTAAGTAGAAGAGCAATTTGGCATTATTTATTAAAATAAAAAATGTATATCCGTATGCTCTATCAATCTTGCTTTTTTCCTATTTAGCTCCTTTCTGTGTCTAACAGGGGCATATACAAGGAAATTTACTGCCACTATGTCTGTAGCATGAAGAGCACTGGAGACATTCTAAAGTTTGTCCCTAAGAACACTTAGGTAAACTACCTGCTGTACAGAATACTCTCCAACTCCCCTCCCCTAAAGAGGGGTAGCTTATATGTACTGAAATGGGAAGCTCACCAAAGAAGTGTTATTAATGAAGAAAAGTTGCAAAACAATATGCAGAATGATTCCATACTTAAACTCAAAACACAGACATAACCATTTCTAAAAGCACATGTATGTGTGTACACTCTCTCTCTCTCTCTCAAAACACAGACATAACCATTTCTAAAAGCACATGTGTGTGTGTGTTCTCTCTCTCTCGTATTCAAATTTGAGTAACAATAACAACCAACCCAGAAACTATAGATAGATGCCTAACTATTTAAAAACGGAGTGGTACATGAGTAACATATACTAGAAAATCAGCACTACACAGATGAAATGACGACAAAATATAAAATCAAGGGCACAAAGAAGTAATACAATAATTATCTCTTTAATAAATGTTTTTAAGTCATTATTTGTGGAAATAAAATAACCATCAAAAGGCAGGAAGGGAAGTAGAGAAGCTGGGGTCAGATTACACACTTAAACCTCATCAATCAAATGGTGAATGTAAGGACAACATTTCAACGTATAGAAGTAACTACTGGAAGAACTAAAAAGAATAAAACTATGGATAAAAATCTTTCAAATTAACAAGAACTCATGCTTCGAATATAAATAAAAACAAAACCTCAAAGATGCAAGGAACACAGTGAAAAATTATTTTTAAAAGCAATACAAAATGAAGCACATTAAATACTATAAGGGAACTAAAATATAACAACTATGAGGGTCAATTCACCTATTAAATTGAAAAGTCTCTTTAAATAGAACCACTAAACGAAACCCAACCACGTAATTGAGAGTTCCTGGAACATAGTGATTCAGAAAGCACAGAGGTGAAGAACACAAAAGTGGGCTTCTGATTCCAATAAATGAACATTAGGTCACTCAGATAAACCCTTCAATAGAGTAAAAGCAGAAAAACTAATCAAAAAATCAAAGTAAAACCAAAACCAAAACATCCACTTGAAGGCCTCAGATACAGGGGCACAGGAACCAAGAGGAAATACAGCAAAATGAGCCCCACGTTGGAGTCCTTTTTTTCCTACAGGTGCCTCCACCAACTCTAGACCTGACTACAGAATGAGATAAACGTAACTTTTGATATCTTTACTGAGGAGCTGAGGGTACAAAAACTGGAATTCAGAATTCACCATGGGGAAGGGTTCTGGTAATTTTCAAGCTCTAGCGTAAGTCCTCCAAGGGCTTTGCCACTAAACCCGGGTAAACTGGAAACAGGTTGGACCTCCCAGGAACAGAACCCTAGTTTGGATACGTTAAATTCCTGAACCTGCAATTGCTGGTCCCCTGACCCTGCTTTGAGACAAAAAGCAGGCCCTCTCTGAAGACAGATAATGTCATCTATGATGTCAAATTCCTCATATACAATGATGACTATCATTCAATAAAAAATAACTAAGCATATAAGAAACTGATGCAACATTACAGAAAACCAAGCTGAGAGAGGTAACATTCAACAGAGACAAACCTACAGAGGTTTCAGATAGTGAAGTTACCACACGTGGATTTTAAAATAACATGCTCAGCATGCTTAAGGAAATAAAAGACTAGATTGAGAATGTCAGCAGAGAACTAGAAATTATTACAAAGAGCCCTGGATGGGTGGCTCAGTTGGCTGAAGAGCCGCCCCATTCACCAAAAAGGTTGTGGGTTCAACCCCCAGTCAGGGGACATACCTAGGTTGCGGGTGCAGTCCCTGGTCGGGTCATGTACAAGAGGGCAATCGACCAATGTGCTTCTCTCACATCAATGTCTGTCTCTGTCTCCCCTCCTTCCTCTCCGAAATCAATAAATATATACACCCTCAGGTTAGGATTAAAAAAAGTTTGGAGAAAGCCAAGTGAATATTGACTGTATAAAACAAAACACACTGTTGTGTTTTTAAAAATGTATACAGAATTAAGCCCTGGCTGGTGTGGCTCAGTGGACTGAGAACTGGCCTGTCCACCGAAAGGCCGCCAGTTTGATTCCCGATCAGGGCACAGGCCTGGGCGGTGGGCCCCAGCTGGGGGTGTGGAAGAGGCGACCGATCCACGCTTCTCTTGCACATTGGTGTTTCTCTCTCTATTCTCCCTTCCTCTCTCTCTAAAAATAAATTTAAAAATATTAAAAAAATAAAAATGTATACAGAATTAAAATATATTAAAAAACATTATTTAAACTGGGAGATGAATACACAGAATTTAATAGAATTCTACACTGACTAATAAAAACCTGAGACAAAGTAGATGGCTACTTCCTTGGCGTAATTTTAAAAATGCTTTCTCACCCAAAAAAGCCACTTATGTCCATGGCTATTTTTCTTATTCCCATTACTACTATCACAATTTTTGAGGAGGTATCATGTAATATAATTAGATAAGAAACTGTAAGCACTATTTGCAGATAAATAAGCTGCCCCCCCTTGAGGAATTATAAGTCAAATGAAATAATGACTACAGACAATAAAAATAAGGTGACTGAGTATGAACTTAATATATGAGAATCAACAGACTTTTCAATCGACAAAAATGGATCTTAGAAAGGGTCAGTATTATAATAACTGTTCTATAAATATAACGATAGGATTTGTTGTCTATCTGTCTGTATTAGAAAAGTTGTTCTTCAAATTTATATTAAAATGGAAGCAGAAAAATACCCAGGATGATTCTGAAAATGCGGAGCAATAAGGGAGAAGAACGCCACCTGACGTTAAGATGAGCTACAAGGCCACAGTAGTTCCTACAGCGTGGTCTGGTCCGGGAACAGTCAGACAGCAACAGTGCAGCTGAGTTAAGTCCAGAAACACAAAAACACACAGCTGCTGAAGGCAAGGGGACACAGGCAGGCTGGAAGGGGGCTGCTCTCAGAAACACAGAACACGTGCGAACAAAGGGCGCGACCCGTGCAGCACAGGCAGCGCTCTCAGCGGCCCTACCGCACGGCACAGTGCCACTGCTGAAGTGGCTGAGCAATCGGTCGCTACCCTGGAACAACGCCCCACCATGGTACGTTTAAGAGAACTCACTTCTGTCAGGATGACATCATCATCCAGGTCCTCTTCGTCATGCTGCGGAGGGGCTGGGGTGACCATCATTGGAACTCCTTCCTCATCGGAGTCATCAGATATGGTGATGGGTCCCTCTCTGAGACTGATCCAGTCTAGAAGTAGGCAGGGGACACTGTTACCAGGGGGGAGGCACGATCCCATTCAGTCCTTTAGTTTGGCTTTGGCACACAAGGGGTCAAGTCTAAAGCCAAGTTCATGGTTACTAGTATCTCAAGTGGCACATGCACCTAAGCAGTAAGAACTATGTTTTCATGCTGATCTTTACCAATAACACATTTTGGGAATCACTTGAGAAAATATGGCAATTACTATGCTCAAGATTATCAACTTTTTCTTAGGCTAGAGAAATCTGTTGACGAAATCTGTCAATGTTTTAAAAGTGAAATCATGGCCTCCCATTTCATCTCTAATCCTCCCACGGAATAAAACACTGTCATTCAAGCTGATAGGTCTGAAAAAAGTTTCATTCAAAGATAGTAAAATCTGTTTAATATTTAAAATATTAAAATTTGCTCAACTGAGACCTAAACCTTAAGTATCATTTATAGAAACATATTTCAGTGTTTCAGCCAAACACTCATACAGCATCTATGAGTAAGCAATTTAACTTTTCTAGTTTCTTTTTAAATATAATTAGAGCTAAACTAACATCTAGATGTATTAATTCTGTTCAAGGTCTCTAAATTCCTTTAATTTGTCTGAAAACAGATCGTGCTGGATGTGAACTACAGGATAACACAAATTCATTTTTTTTCCTGTCCACGAAACTCTTAAAGCTAAAATGGGCAATGAAGAGAAAATGCATTAACTTTCCTAGAAAAGAAAGTTTAAGAATAAAAAAGAAAGAGGCCTCACATTACAAGTTTTGAAATTCCTCCATTAAATCTGTCATTTCTTTCTCACGGTTAAGGCCTCACATACAGAGTGTAGCAAAAGTAGGCTTACAGTTGTGGGTACACAAAGGACAATTTATTCCTGTATTCTTATCTGTTAATTACTGCACTATTTTCCGTACAAGGAACCGTAAGCCTGCTGCTGCCCTGCCCTGTATTTTTATGGCACCAGGAAACCTGCAGAGCAGCCTGCGACCCGTGGCCTCGCGTCAGTCCTGCAGCAGAGCTGCAGGTAGGGCCCGCAGGCCGTCTGAAACAGGAAAGTCTACGTGCTCTCTGGCCGGCGGCCTGGGTTCCAGTCTCAGCTGCACCACATGCTAGTTACCTTCCGCTGTTACCTAACTTTTTTAAACGTCTATTTCCTCAACACTGCAAAAAGGTTAACAATGGTGCCTACCTCGAGCAATTGTACGAGTTGAGAAAGGTCACATAAAATGCCTGTTTATTATAGTACTTGACATGCAGTACAAGTTGCCTGATGTCAAGTCCACTGCTACCAGCACAGCAGTAGACAGATAAAATCTAACCACCCACTGCACCGAGGGCCTGAGAAGGGCACGACAGGACTTCTGGTGACATCTGGCAGAATGAATTCAAGTGATTATCATCACCACCTCCTGAAGCCCCACTACAGTGACAGTAAAGGAACTTCAAGTAGAACTCCGCAAGTACACAAAGAGGAAAGGAGATGAGAGCTGGCAAGAGACCCAAACAGATGGCCAGAGCTCCGGCCACGGGGACAAGGCTCAAACCCAGCCTCCCGCAAGAGGGGGAGCCAACCAGAAGTGGCCCAAGTCATGCCGCAAAATCCTGGATTTTCCTGAACAAATGGTCTCAATTATTGTATATCTTTGGTTGTTTCCGGTCTTTAAGAGGTAGTTTCTGACAATGGTGGCTAACTTTATTGTTGATTTTGGGGAGAGACCTTGCCAAGCCCCTCACCTGGCCACCCTGTGGAGGCCCATTCTAAACAGACTCTGCGGCACAGAGGCCCTGGACACCATGTACAGGCCGAGGAGGAAAGAAATGCCTTGGAAACAGGGTAATGGGTAAGACCTGGCTGCCTTCTGCTGCCGGCCTCTCAGATGATAGCACTAGCCCAAGGCGAAGACCCGATGAAAAGGGTGGCCTGAAATTTATCACCTTACAGTGAAGCCCAGTGGGTGACAAGGTACTTCCCCAAACACCAAATATAAACACAGTAGCTTTTAAAAATATACTTTAAAAAATTAAAGAATAACAAAATCTATGAACCAAGCGTGTAACTCACAATTTAATACAAAAAGTCCACACCTGTGCGACCACCATCACTGAGGTCACTTCCAGCACTTTGGGAGCCTCTTAACCCTGCAGACTAGTTTTGTTTGTTTCTGAGTATATGCTATTGTTTCTGGCTTTCTTGCAAACAACATGTCTAAGACGTATCCACGCCTTCACATGCTGCAGTAGTTCTCTTGCTGGATGTAACACGCTGCGTGACTAGACCGTTATTTATTCTTCTGTAGATGGGCACTTGGGTTGGTTCTGGCCTTGGACACTCTGGACAGCATTGTTATGAACACTCCTGGACATGTCTCTGGGTACACTCATTTCAATTGAGTGCATTCTTTGCTGAGTCATAGGAAAAGCGTATGTTCAATTTTAGTAGACAGTGCCCAACAACTTTCCAAATTATCTGCACCAATTTATACTCCCGCCAGCAATGTAGAACAGTACCTGCTACTTCATGTCCTTACTGGAACACAGCCATGCTCATTCATTTATGTGTTATCGACAGCTGCTTCCATGCTACAATGGTACACAGCTCAGGAGCTGCAACAAAGACTGCATGACCTGCAAAGCTAAAACAGTGACTACCTGGCTCTTTCAGTTTGCTGAGCCCTGGTTTAGATTAATTTCCCAGCTCCACTTTAATATATGCATTTTAGTTTTCATGACATTTGGTTTTGGTTTTCTTATGCACATACAAGTTTTCTTCAAAACATGACATTAGGTGCATCTCATAAGCTTCAACAGATTGTATTTTCATTATCGTGAAGTTCAAATTTTTTTCCTAATTTTCATTGTGACTTTTCTTTTTAATTCTCAACCAAGGACCTTTATTGCTTTTAGAGAGAGAAGAAGGGGGAAGGGAGGGAGGAGGGGGCAGCGAGAGAGAGCCAGACAGACAGACATCGATTGACTGCCCTCTTGTACATCCCCAACCGGGATGGAACATGCTACCTGGGCATGTGCCCTGACCGGGAACTGAACCCATGGCCTTCTGGTCCACTGGATGATGCTCCAACAATCTGAGCCATAGTGGCCAGAGCTCATTGCGATTTCTTCAAATCATGGGTCATTCTGAAGCGCATCCCTGTTTTCCACACGTATAGGGATTTTTCTAATTATATTTTTGTAATTGATTTATGGCTTAATTCCAATGTGGTTAGAGAACATAATCTATATGATTTCAATCCTCTGAAACTTGAAACTTGTTTTAGGGCTTAAAATATGGTCAATTTTTGTAAATACATTGGGCATACTATTTCGTGTATGTCTATCACGTCAGGTTTGTTGATCATGCTCTTCCATATTCTATATTCATACAAATGTCTGTGTGTGATTGCTCTCCCAGTTATTGAGAGAAACATGTTAAAACCTCCCATTATGATTGTGGACTTGTTCATTTCTTCTTTTAGTTCTGCCAATTTTTGCTTTGTATATTTTGACACCATGTTACTAAGTGTGTAGGGATTAGAATTGTTTTACCTTTCTAGTGCGCTGATCCTTTTATCATTAGGAAATCTTTATTAATACTTCTGACTGCAGTGTCTATTTTACCTGATTATATATAGATATACTAACTCTCTTTTTAGCTACTATTTGCATAATATGCTCTTTTCATTCCTGTACTTTTAACCTTTACTTTACCTTAATTTTTAAGCCTATTTTCACTGGGTACAGAATTCTAGGTATTATTCAGCAACTAAAAGGGACGGAGTTACTTATGTTAAATACATGCAACAACATGGATGAATCTCAAAATAAATGATGTTAGGCAGGAGAATTCAGGCACAAAGAAGATACACTGCATGCTCCCATTTATATGAAACCGTATAGCGACAGAAGGCCGATCAGTGATTTCCTCAGGCCAGGAACAGGGTGAAGATAGGCTGTAAAGAGGCATAAAGGAATGTTTCTGGGGTGATAGAGATGTTCTATATCACGATTGAAGTGGTGGTTATATGGGTGTATTCATTTTTCAAAACTCACTGAACTATACACTTAAAATATGTGAATTCACTGTATGTAAATTATAGCTTCGTACAGATTGCCAAATGACCTGCAGGGGACGGCTCAATAAAAATTATTAATATAGACAATAAACACAAAACAACTCCGCATGCCTTAAAGGAAGCCCTGATGAGTGTAGGGTGCATGAAATTTGTCTGACAGAAAAATATGCCTCCAAGGAGCGCCCTTCTAGTTGCTAGAAGAGATGTGCCGAATTCATGAACTGTTTAATAAAACCAATTAGATCTTTAAAAAACCTATAACATCATTTTTCACATGTTCATACCTACGAATTATAGCTAAGATTTAAAACATTCTTAATCACAATAAATTATAGCTACAATCACTATCAAGTTATAGTACACTAATAAAAATCCTTAAAAAAATCAGTATTTCTTTTTAGTACTCATAATTTGATAGCATAAACAATTTTATTTATTTTCTTCAATTTATTTGCTTAATAAAATTTGCTCTATTTTAAAGGCTCTGAAAGCCAAATATATACAATTTACCCTCTGCTGGAAAAAATCATCTTCATAAACACAAAATAGTATCAATGGGAACAACAAAAAAACCCTAGTACAGCCTCTTCTATATACTTGCAAAAAAAAGTGATCTTTCCCTACTCATTAGCACAAAGTTTTTTCTTTTAGTGATGTATAAATGTGAATTAGGATTTGGCAGGAAATTTCATAAGCATTTAGGAATAAAGTTATAGAAATGCAAGCTCCCTTCCCTTTATGAATCAATGAATTTCCCCAAATTAAAAAAACTGTAAAACAGAAGATTGCATGTCCTGAAATTCCCTGTAAGGCTAAACCAGAATCTTCTGGCAAAAAAGAAATTAAGCATCGTATGAGGGGGCAAAAGTGGTTCAGCACCAGCCTCAGTGCTTTCAGATCACACAGGTGTGGAGGAGGGTTTCCTGGCAGTCACGGCCCCTTTAAGAACAGAGGACAACCACTGCTGTCATACCCTCATCCCTTAAGCACCAAGGCCTGTGTGTTCGCAGCTCTTTTTACCCTGCTAAGGCACAGCTTATTGATCTTACTTGTGATGAAAGATTCTTAAACTTCTGTCATGCCAGCAAGTATCATCATTTGACACAAAATTCTAGTCTGCTGAGTGCATTTACACCTGATGTTCTGAGGCCTAAAACTGAAACAACTCTGGGTTCTGCATGGCGCAAAACAGGCTCATTTTAAAGAAGACATAACTGGAACGCTAAGAGGAAACGCAAGATGAAAGGGAGAACCACCGCTCACCTTGTCCCTGGTGGCAGTGAAAGTTGTTCAAGTGAATCACCTCTTCATTGTTACTTCCCTCTGCCATTTTCAAATGCGGGCGCGCACGCACACACGTGCTTGCTAATATCTGAACATGGTGACTATCTGTTCCAAAGGCTCTGAAAAATAAGAACAAAAGGAACATTAAGAACAAGGAAAATACCAAAACTCTTTCCACATATCTGGTCAAAACAGAAGCATCCCAAGCTTATGGTGAAAATACCACTAAACAGAAGTAAAAACAAACCCTAAATGAACACGTTCCTGAAAAGCTAATAAAAGAGGAGAAAATGGAATAATTAAAAAACTCAATTATGGTAACCCGTGGAATGGGAGGAAATATTTGCAAATCATCTATCTGATTAGGGGTTAAAATCCAAAATATATAAGGAACTCATAATTCAATACCAAAAATACAAATAATCCAATTTAAAAATGGGCAAATTTAAAAATGGGCCCTTTTTTCCAAGTAAAATATTCAGACGGTCAACAGGTACATGAAAAAGCACTCAACATCACTTATCAGCAGGGCAATGCAAATCAAAACCACAGTATCACTTCATACCTGTCAGAATGACTATTATCCAAAAAACAACACCTAAGTATCACTGAGGATGTGGAGATAAAGTCCTCATGCACTGTTGGTGTCCATGTAAATTGGTAACATAACTGTGCAAAAAAGGCTTGATTCTTTTTTCTTTTCTTTTTTCATTTCAAATACATTTGTCTCTGCCTACCCCCGACCACTTTCCCTTGAAGGCCTGATTCTTGATCAATTATATTGAAAGATACATAACCCATAAAGACACAATCCACTGCTAGAAATCTGTAGTACAGAAACGCATTGTTTATGTGCAACAGGTCTATGCACAAGAATGTTCACAGCAACGTTAATTCTACAAGCCAAAAACAGAAAGGGACGCACATAAATGACAGAATGGACAAATACACTATGGTATGTTCATACAATTAAGACCTACAGCAAAAAAAAATAAAAATGAAGCCATTGCAGTCACACAGAACATGGATACATATTAAAACACAAGGACTGAGTAAAAGAATCCAGACATAAAGTATTATATATGTTGGATGACTCCATTTAGATAAAGTTGAGGCACAGGCCTAAACTTAGTTGTTTCGGGTGGAACTTCTTTGTGTGTATTGTATTTCACAACAGGAAAGTTAGGGGGAACGAGTTAGGGGAGAAAGTGGTTGCCTCTGTGAAACAGCAGTTGAGGATCAAGAGGAGATGATTATTGCTTTTAATTCTTTCTGTAGTTTGATGTTGAACCATTTTCCTGCTTTAATTTGATAAACATTAGAAGAATGAAAATCAATAAATAAGAACCAAAAGGATACAATTATAACTGCTATGGAGCCTCTTTCGTTCCAAGACTCTGTCTTTAACTTACCCACTCAACATTTTCCTTCACCTCTACCTAAATTTTCTTTGCTTTCCTGGGAGAAACCACATGCTTTAGAGGAGGTAAGCTCCAAACCCTGGTTTCCCATTAACTGTCTACATAGAGTTAACAGTCAAATAATATCAGCATTGTTCCAACTTAGAAAATACAAAGTTGTATATCAAGATTGTTTTACAACAGAATTTTATGGTATCTGTAAGTGGACAAAGGTATCTCAAATTTTTTAAATTACAAATCCAAGGATTAAGTTTGGGTGTCTCACTTGATTTAACAGCCATGTTATCTATAAACAGTGTGGTATAAAGGGAAGAGCTTGGGTGTCAATTCAAGTACTTTACTGCGTTTCTTTCAGAAAAATGTTTTGTTTTTTTTTTTTTTTTAAGTATTTTGAACACTCAACTGCAATAGCCAAGTCTCATTTCTTCTTTTACCACAACTAGGTTCCTTCAAATTTAGATTGGTAATCAAAAGGAAACGTGACTTTACATCAAATTTAGTTAGAACGTCAAGCTTGTAGTTAAGCCAATTACTAGTGGTGCTTTAAAAGCAAGATTTCCCATGAAGGGCACATACAGTGGCCCGAAGCTACAGTGAGAAATGAAATCTGATCATGGAATTTCTACCTCTGACTAGTTTCTCTGTAAAAGTCACTCAACCCTCTGACATTCAGTCCTCTCTCATCTGGGCTTCAGATCAGGCAGCTTAGGTATAAACCTGGCTTCACCATTTAGTGAATCAGTAACCTTGTAAATTGCTTAACCTCTTGGGCCTAAGGGTTCCTCCATTTGTAAAATAAGAATACAATTATTTTAAAATTTAATTGAATTAAATATGTATCATTTTTAGCACAGTGCCTGCGACATAGCAAGTGTCACATTATGACCATTATTATTATTATCATCTGTGAAACAGAGCTATTCTTATCTTGTAAAGCTCTGTTGACAATTAAATAAAACAAGAGCCTTATCACAAGTACACAGATGATGCAGTGTTTACTAACAATAAGAGTTGATAATACAGCAAAACAACGGGGAGGACTATATGTCCCTCCTACAAGTTACTCTTCACTAGTAGTATAACTATTCACAGTAACGCTTAATTCCTTCTCTAAAAGAAACTTCATTTTCCCTCTGCAAGTAGCAAGAAGCTATTCACCTCTTGATCAGAAAACTGAGGAGAATAGTTTAAAAAAAGTGAAGTTCAGAAACTGGAATGCCACCCAAGAAAGATTATTTCAGTTCTTGCCTCTTCTCTTTATTGTAAAAATTAAAGGTATGTTTATGACTACTGTTTATAGTCAAATATCAGTTAATGCTTACAAAATAAAACTAAACATTAGCACATATTTTTATCACTTCATAACTGGAGAATCTTCAGCAGAAGTACTATTGTAAAAATTTAAGAAAGTTAGATGACGGTTCTATGCTCTCTTCCACTGCAACAACTGCCCTTCCTTTTATGGATGAACCAACATACGAGAAAGAGTTCACATTTGAGCTGTTTTCTCCCTGTGCCCTTGACTATGTCTTACTCACAGCTGTATTTCCAGTGTCTCACAGTTGATTTATAGGCTGGCTCCAAACGCATCTTTCTCTGTCAAAGACTGGAGGTGAGAATCACAGCCGTAAGTAACCAGAGTCAGGTAAAACGGCTTAAGTGACAACAATCAGTTTATCAGGATTTTCTTCATTCCTAAAGTATGGCCCATTACAGAAAATTTGGAAAACAAAGAAAGTTGGGGGGGTGCGGGGGGGATCACCCATGGTGCTCTCCTGCAATTTTCTGGTCTCAGAATTGCAACTTTGCTTCCTCATGACCAGAGACAGAGACAGACGGGTTTGTCTCTGACGATCATTTTCTTCTCAGGCTTCTATTCATGTTTCTCCTTCCACATGTCCCTAGTATAACACTGCACAGTCCTGGGCTTTTGTGCTCCTGCTTTCCAGAGTAAGTTCCATAAATAGGCCTGTCATTTCTGCAAACACGGATTTAGGGGCAATAAAAGATGTTTCAAATTTAATGAATTAATCTATGAACATTCCAGGGAAAGGTGAGCAAAGCAGAGTCAAGCACAGGCTGGGAGAGGCTGACATGCCCATCATACCAGCCCCCGCGATGTCTCTTCCTAGCATATTTTTCAGGAGTCTATAAATAACTTTTGCTTTTCATTCAAATTCTAGCTTTTCATCTTAACCAGTATTTGGATGCCATTAGCATATCTAAATACTAATATTTCATCAATATTAAATCAACACAACAAAAAGTTAATGGCTTTTTCAAAGTAATAAGTTTAAGGTCATTTTTATTTTTTGCTTCCTTATATTTTCTGATTTTTCTATACTAAATTGGTATTATTTACATTAACACTTAAAAATTAAAATACATTAAAAGAATTCAACAAATATTTATTGTGGTTTGCCATATGGTATAAACAATGTATTATACCAACATGCATCTTGCCTCAAAGAACTTGGACTCCCATCAATGAGAGAAAATATGCACATAATTAAGTATACTAAAAAGTAAAAAGCCACCCTGGCTGGTGTGGCCCAGTAGATAAGAGTGCTGACCTGAGAACTGAAGGGTTGCCAGTCTGATTCCCGGTCTAGGACACATGCCCGGGTTGCGGGCCAGGCCAAGGGGTGCAGTGGGGGTGTGGGCGGGACGTGACAGACAACACCACATTGGTATTTCTTTCCCTCTCTTTCCTCCTCCCATCCCCTCTTCTCTGTAAAATCTTTAAAAAAAAAAAAAGTTGAAAGCCATTGGTGCAATAAAAAAACTATTCCAGTTGGGGAAAGGGAGGCAGTCTGGAAACGCTTAGCAGAGGTAGCAGCATATAGGTTAGACTGAATGTAGTGCCAGCTCCAGGCTTAGTCTTTAAGAGAGGCAGCAGCTTCCAGCCCAGGCTCTTGAAGCCCAGAGTTACCACCTAAGACGTGCAAATGCCCTGTTGGAGAGAGCACGAGGAAAGCCCTGACACGGCACAGGGACAGGGCAAGGCCAGCTGAGCCCTGCCTTCCAGCAGTCTCTGACAGGCACGGGAGTGAAGAAGCCTCTTAGGACGTGGGTCCCCCAGCCCTGGCCATCCCATCCGACGACATGAGAATCAAATAATTTGCCCGGGTGAGCCCTTCCCAGTCTCCTGACTCACAAAACGATCAACAAATAAAACTGCTGTATTGTATTAAGTCACTAAGTCTGGGCGTGGTTTGCCAAAACATCGATAAATAACCGAAGCAGAGCTCAGATTTTATTTTCTGTTCAATGGGAAGCAATGCAGAGTTATGCTTTAGGAAAATCAACCTAGTTGCAATATGTAAGACAGATTGTAGAAGACATCTGGTGGCAGGAAACCCGGAAATAAGGCTAGTGAAGTCTGAACTACAGCTAACAGTAGGCAGGAGAGGAACACAACATTAGACACTGATTACAGAATTAGACTCAATGGGATTTCTGTATAATTAGCCATCAGGGCAAGAGAAAGAAAGGAGTCAAAGGTGACCTAGATGTTGAAATCAGGCGACTGAAGGATGGGGACACTATTAAGGAAGAACAAGGCAGGTGAGGAACTTAGAATAAGAAAATGCAATGAGTATTAAAAACACTGACAAAAAGGAAAGAACTAAGGTAAAATGCCATCCATAATTAGATATAATTATACAAACAATTAGTCTGGAGTTTAAGGGGCTCTAAAAATCCTGTAATTAGTGTCTTTTCACAATAGAAGAGGTTTTCATCCAAAAATTCAATTCAAAATCTTCTTTGGGTGGGCTGAAGAGCCTAGTGCATGACATTAACCAGGACAGCGAAGCAAGCCCTTCTCATCCGCAAGGTGGGGTGGGGGCCGCAATCACCGCTGTCAAAGCCCTTTTTCCAGCTGAATCCTCTCTGAACTCATGACACCCTGTCCCTTCTATCCCAACACTGCCTACGAGCTGTGCCCCGACATATTTTAACACAGCACCAAGAGCCTGCTTTTCTAACCCTCAAATCTCACGATGGTAGAGCCTGTGAAACGCTGCCCCGAGGACCCTTGCGGACACAGCGAGCCTCGCCGCACGCCTCTTCCCCCATTCACCATGCGGCAGAGACCACGGTCTTCGTGACCAGCCACGCTGCTTCCTTCCTCTTCCCGCTCTTTTCTCTGGCGGGATCGCCCTTCGCTGACTCTCTTTGACCAAATGAACTCTGTCATCGTTCACTTCATCTTAAATGTCACTTCCTCTGAGAGAGAACTTTCCCGACTATCCCCAGTATTCAAGCACACACCTCTCTCTCCATCAAAGGACTTGGCACAATAATCCACAATTATTTGGGAAGCTGCGCTGAATGTCCATCTCCTGGGCTTAAACAAATTCCAAGAAGAGGGGACCCCGCATCCTATTCATCCCCCTAATCCCAGGACGTGCGCACTGCCTGGCACAAAGTTAACACTCGTAAGAGCTTTTTGAATAAATATTTACAGGTGGCACAGAATAACCAGGAGCATGAACTCTGCAACCAAACCGAGTTCAAGTTCTAGCTCAGTCCCTTGTAAGCTTTGTGATTAGCAAGCTATTTTTCAGCACATTTTCTTCCTTTTAAAAGTAACAAAACCCACGCCATCGAGGATGGAGAGCTACCATATGGAAAACGCTTAGAACAATATCTGGCACACAGCATCCTGTTCTGTCCTATTATTATACTATTAGCCACCGAGACAAAATAACATGGTTAGGTGTGAAAGTAGCTGCGATGCCTGCGAAACCTTCACAGCCTGGAGTATAGTAAACACTCATTAAAGAGGAGCTACCTCTCGGGGTGAACAGACCCAGCTTCTCTCAGCTCTCCAGCTTCAGAAACTTTCAGTCTCCTCGCCCCGCTTCTCGACTTCCTTTCCTACACTTCTCCTCAGGGGCTGCCAGGCTTCCCCTTCACTGGCTGCTGCAGGGCCTCGGGATAAAAATCGAAAGCCTCCATCTCCAGCTATTTCCCCAAGTCCAACCACTCCCTACCCCCAAGCCACAAAAAAATCACTTTTACAAAACCAGAGCCAGGCCAACTCGGTCCTTCGGACGACGCACTGGAGCTGGAGTCGGCCCTAAAATCTCCCCCGTCCCCTCCCGGCGGGGTAAGCCAGCCCTTTCCGTTAGCAGAAGGCCCGGGGCAACGGGCCCTGCCAGGGCACTTGCCCCGCGTACTGCGGTTTTCCGCAGGGCCCCGGCTGCTGCGCCTGGGAACCGGCGCTAGGAGCTGAGCTGCGACCCGCAGGCACTCGGGGCGGCTCGTCACGACACTGAAGGGGCCCGAAGTTTTGGACCCGCGCTGCACAGCGGCCGGGCGAGCCGCCGTGAGGGAGCGCCGCTCCCGTGCGCCGCCGGGCGCTGCAGCACGTGCGCCGGGCTCGCCCTCTCCGCACCGCGGGGGGCTCGGGCACACCTGCACGTCCTCTCCAGCGCGGCGGAGGCGTCGCCGGCTTTCCGGGCTGCACGACCCTCCAGAGCCGAGCCCGGAGGGCGCGGGGCTGCGGCGCGTCAGCCCCCGGGCCAGGGACCCCGCAGTTCAAAGTCACAGCGCACCGCCCCCCGCGCTGCTCCCGGCCGCGCTCGGCTGCACGGACGCCGCCTCCCGGGGGATGTCGTCCAGGACACTCGGACTTCAGGCGCTTTCGCCCTCGCGCTGCAGGCAGACGGACCGACCCGCGAAACTTCCCGAAGTGCGGGGAGCGGGGGAGGGTCCGGCGGCCGCGCGCGCGCGCCTTTGTCGCGGCCGCCTCACGGCCAGCCCCGCTGCTCCGGCCGCCCGGCGCTCGGCGGCGCCCCGCGCCCCCGCCGCCCCTCACGGCCGAGGCCCCCGCCCCGACCCCGGACCAAGGGAGGCGCCGGGCGGAGACGCCGCTCGCCTCCTCGAGGAGTTCGGCGCGCCCCGCGGACGACACTTACTCTCCACTCAACTCGCCGGCACGCGAGGCGGGCTTGGCGGCTTCTGTCGCCGGGGCTTTTAATCTCCAGAAGCTGTGGCCGACAGCTCCTTCGCCGCCGCGGAGGCCCCAGCTGCGCTCCTTCCGGCCCTGCCGCGGCGTCACCTCGCGCCTGCGCACAGCGCCCCCTCCCGACTAATGACAGGAAGAACCATAGAGGCACGCCGGGTGCGAGGGAGGAGGGGCTGGGGGACTAAGACCATAGAGAGGGACGCCTGTCCGCGGCCCCATCCCGCTCTCTGCACACTGAGTCTTGACTCCCCCTCTGGGCGGGAGGACGAAAGGGGCTGAGACTGCCTCCCCGCCGCCCCCGTGGGGGGTTCCTGGCGTCCCAAAGTTGAAAAGGGCGTGGGGGTAGGTGGCCGTGGAAATCTCTTGGGTAGGCACCTATTTGCCTCCGTTGCCCTTGACAAGTCATTCTTCCATTCAGCACATATTTTCGGAGGGCTTCCTGTGTGCCAGGCCCTGTTCTAGGCATTGGGGATACGAAGGTATAGAGGTCCCTGTTCTAGTGAGCTCATGGTTTAGCGGGCAAGTCAATAACTAGTGAACTAACCAGTGAACTAACTAACTAAAATATTGGCTCAGACAGGAAGTATTTAGGGGGGAAAATAAACACGGGAAAAATAAAGCAGGGAAAGGGAAAACAGCATGGCTGCAGTGCGGTGAGACAGACAGGTAGTGGTGGGGAATGGGGCTGGCGAAGTGGTAGGGGCCCTAATCTTAGGTCTTAAGAAGGAATTTGGATTTTATTCTAAATGTCATGGAAGCTGCTAGAGAATTGGGAGCAGGGGCGTGAGTGTATCTGCTTATGTTTTGCAAAGATAGACTCTGAAGAGGTAAGATCAGACAGAAGCAGGAAAGCAAGTTAGGAAGCTATTGGAGGGTCTAATTGAGAAGCGTTGGCGATTTGGGCTCGTATGGTCAGGGAGGAGGTGGTGAAATATAATCAGATTAGGGTTTTTGGGGTTTTTTTTTAAGGTAGAACAGAGATTCATGGAGGGACTGGATGTGGGGTGAGAAAGCAAGGAAGGAGTCAAGGATAACTGCAAGGTTTTTGGCTTGTGCAGCTGGGTAAGTAGTGGTTCCATTCACAGACGTGGGGAGAAAGGAGAACAGATTTTGGTCAGGGTAAGGAGCAGCGAACATGTTTTAGACATACTAAATTGCCCACAAATCTTAAGTAGTGATGTCAATAGGCAATTACAGTCCTGCATCGCTTAAGGGAGGCAGTATGTTCTAAGAAATGCGTCTTTAGGCGATTTCATCATCGTGCAAACTTCGGAGAGTGCGTTACGCGAACCTAGGTGGTACAGCCCGCTACACACTAGGCTGTGCGGTGCATCGCCCATCGCTCCTGGGCTACAAGCCTGTACAGCGTGTTACTGTACTGAGTACTGCAGGCAATTGTAACACAATGGCAAGTATTTATGTGTCTAAACATATCTAAACATAGAAAAGGTACGGTAAAAAATATGGTATGAAAGATACAAAATGAGCCCTGGCCAGTGTGGCTTACTGGGTTGCATGCTGGCCTGCACACCAAAGGGTCACAGGTTTGATTCCTGGTCTAGGGCACATGCCTGGGTTGCAGGCCAAGTCCCCAGTAGGGGGCACACAAGAGGCAACCACACAGTGATGTTTCCTTCTCTTTCTCACTCCTTTCCCCTCTCTCTAAAAATAAATAATTTTTTTAAAGATAAAAGATGGCTCACTTGTATAGGGCGCTGCTGACCCCACTCCATCCTATCGAGATGCCACAGGTAAGCCCACACCCGCCCTCCCATTGAACAACAAAGCAGGAGAGCTGAAAAGGGAACAGCCTTTCAGACATCTGAGCAGTCCTACCACAATATTTGCCCAATCCACTTAATGCCTACGAGTGATATTTTTCTTTAGATTGATTCATTTTTTTGTTAAACTATGTTTATTTTAAAAGAAAATGTCATTTCACTACATAGAATACAAGTCTCACTTTCCATAAGCAGAAAGTACCCATAAAAATAGATCCCATGAAATAAAACGACATTACTGAATTTTTAAAAATTAAACCGATGAGCTACAATAAAAATTAAATTGGGGGCATTAAATCAAATGAAGGTGTGATGTGTATATCTGAAAACAAGCTCCATTAAGAAAAGAATGGAATTGTTTGTAAGCAATCAGAAGTAAAGGGATATTTGGTCCCTATTTTTTAGTTTAAAGGAAAAATGAAGTGCTGTGCCAATAGGAGCAGTCACTTTTTTGTTGTTTGTTTACTGCATCAAGAATCAAAAAGGGCAAGGCATATCTCCCTGCAGATGAAACTATTGTCAACAATGATGCTTTGCTATTGTCCTGGGGAGAAGCACGGAAGTTCCATCCACGGAATGCCGTGTCATCTGTCCTGCTCTCCATCCCTGCAGTCAGGGCTGAGGTGTGAACCACGCACAGCACCCTGAGCCTGTCCCGTGAGTCATCACAGCGCTGCTTCTTTTATTTCATTTTCTCGTTACAGTTAGTAGAATGTGCCTGTGACCTGCAAAGTCATTCGTGGTAGTGGAGGGCTGCTGTTTTCACAATTCGTGCATCATCGCTTTGTTCCCAAGAGCTCACCTGCGGCATTGCCGTCAGCTTTATCTAGATGAAGCGGTGCTAGTCTGGCCGTGGGGGAAATTATTCCTGAACTCTGCCCGCTTTCAGAAGTAGTAATTTCCTGCTATTCTGGCCCATTGCTTTTTTTTTTTTTAATCAATGTTATTGCAGTGTAATTTATATGCAATACAATGCACCCAATTTCAGTGTATGTTTCTATCAGTTTGGGCAGATTTATGTACCCATGCAGCCAGCACCATAATCAAGTTAGGGATCATTTCCATCACTCCAAAATATTCCCTTGTGCTCCTTCCTACTTGATCTACCACCCTCATCCCTGGTGCTAGGCAACCAATTATCTGTTTTCTGTCCCTTTAGATTAGAATTGCTTTTTCTGTAGTTTCAGATAAATGAGATCATAAAGCATGTACTCTTGTGTCTGGTTTCTTTTGCTCAACATATGTTTATTTTTCAGGTATTTTTATTGTGGTAAAATACACATAAATTGATCATCTTAACCATTTTTAAGTATAGTAAAATGTTTTGCAACCATCATCACCATTGATCTCCATAACTCTTTTCTTTTTGCAAAACAGAAATTCTATACCTATTAAACAGTAGCGCCCCTTTCCCCCCAGCTTCTGGTACCCCCCATTCTACCTTCTGTTTCTAGGAATCTGACTACTCTAACTACCTCTTTTAAGTGGAATTATACAGTGTCTGTCCTTTGTGACTGGCTTATTTCACTTAGCGTGATGTGCTCTAGGTTCATCTGTGTTATAGCCTGAGTCAGAATCTTCTTTCTTTTTAAGGCTGAATAATATTCCATTAAAAGGATGGGCCATATTTTGCTCATCCATTCACCTGTTGATGGACACTTGGGTTGCTTCTACGTTTTAGCTCTTGTGAATAATGTGGGTATGAACATGGCTGTACAAATAGCTCTTACAGCCCCTGCTTTCAGTTCCTTTGGGTGTATACCCAGAAATGAAATTGCTGAATCACATGGTAATTCTATTTTTTAACTTTTGAGGAACTATCATATTGTTTTCTACCTTTCGACATTCCCACCATCTGTGCACAAAGGTTCCAATTTTTCCAGATCCTTGCTAATTCTTGTTACTTTCTGGATTTGTGTTTTCTTTTTTTTAAATAGTAGCCATCAAAATGGGGGTGAGGCGGTATCTCATTGTACTTTTGATTGACATTTCTTTAACAATTCATCATTTTCAGCATCTGTTCATGTTTTTATTGGCAGTTTGTATATTTTCTTCATAGAAATGTCTGCTCAGTCTTGTGGTCATTTTTTAATGGAGTTGTATGTTTCTTCGTGGTTGAGTTTGCGGGGTTCTCCAGATTTTGTTATTAGCCTCAGGTCAGATATATGATTTCCTAATATTTTCTTCCATTCTGTGGCTTGTATTTTTATTCTGTCGATATTGGTTTCTTAGGTACAAGTTTTTAAAATTTTCATGAAGTCCAACTCGCCTATTTTTTTGGTTGTTGCTGTTGTCTGTGCCTTTGGTATCATAGCCAAGAAATCATTGCCAGATCCAATATCATAAATGTTTTGCTGTATGTTTTCGTCTAAGAGTTTTATAGTTTCAGATCTTCCACTTAGGTCTTCAATCCATTTTGAATTTATTTTTGTGTAGGGAGTTAGTTAAGGGTCCAATTTCATTCTTTGCATGTGGCCAACATCTTCCCAGGACCATTTGTTGAAAGGCTCTCCTTTAGCCCATTGAATCGTACCCTCCCTAAAGCCTGGGGTCTTCTTAGACACTGCAGCGACCCACCGAGCCAGCGGTGTGCTGGAGCAGCTGGAGCCCACTGTGTGCAATTCCTTCCAACTCCCTGTCCAGTGAGGCCACGCTGGTAGCTTGAAGGAGGCCACGGCGGGAGTGTTTACACCATAGAAATCAGCAAAGGCGGCACACCTGAGCTCTCCCCACGAGCCAGGCGTTGACCTTTTCCTAGTGCACCATTAAATCGGGTGGCTGCTGCTGCAAGGCAGAGATTTGCCTCCCAACCATTTCTCTGATCTCCAGATTTTTCTCCCCTTGCCACTTCGTAAGATCTGACCCATTTTCCTGCTCTGTGTGAATTTTTCCATTCTGGCTTCAGGTCAGGATTGCTCTGACCTTCCCGTAAGCTTCTTGGCCATTAGTCTACTTCACATTAGTCAAGTAGAATTTCTAGACTGAGATCATTAAAAACCGTTGCCAGTCCTGGATTTGAAATTCGAGAATTAATGATGTATGTGAACACCTGAAACGAGGTAAAATTTACAATTGCATTTGATGATAAGCCTAGTAAGGAATGTGTTTGTAGTGAAACATTGAAGTGTGAGGCACTGAACGCTATGTGTGGACTAAAATTAAGTATCACTTCCACTTCAGTATTGTAACGTTTGTGGCTATGATTTACTGAACACAGTTCCAAATACATTTGCAGCTCTAAGTTTCATTTGTTTTTAATTTTACCTGTTTCAGCTGACAGTGGAGAACTTAGTCTCTTGAAATA